GCTGCAAATCGAGAAAAGTGGCCATCACTGCACTGGGCACCTCACCCTTTTTAACAGACATCGCGATACTATATTGCGTGGTATGAAATGCAGAGAAACTGCAAAACAATATCCACCAAATAATTCCCACATACTCCTACAGCCGTCTGCAGTGCTGCTATTCCTTATAATGCGTGCAGACAAAAACGTCATGACTCTACCGGTCGGCTGTCCGTTCAAATGGGTCTACAGTGGGCAGAAACGCTCCAAACGCGGGATTAAATAGTGATCGGTGACTGAGCTGTCTGAAAATTTGGATTTCGGCTAAACTTGTGGTACTCTTTTAAGGTATTAATGTTGTAGACATGTGACAGCAGGGAAACTTGGTGGTAAGAGTGATATTTTTCAAAATGATGGGGAAAGCACAAGAAAAAGTAACAAAATTGCTTCAAATGTTGGTTCAGTTTATTTTATTTAGAAAATGTAATGCAGAGAGAAAATTTTTGGCGATATATAGGTCATTTTCGGAATTATAAACCCCTTAAAAATGGTAAATTTGAGAAAAAATCAACTAAAAATACGTGTTTTTTTTAACTACAAGTCTGGAGGGTCATCCACATCACTCTCCTCTCTATCAATAACAAGTGGCATGGTTTTTAGCCCGCCCTTCTGCTTTGGAAAAGCTATCTAGCGGGCTTATGCGAACGACCTCGCGTCTGTCTGTCTGTTCCACCAAAAGGAGATGTGTTGGGGACTTCAAAACGAAACGCCTACGGCAAATCCTGGCAACCACCTCTAAGGGGCTGAAAGGGAGTATCAAAGAAAATGAAGCAGGTCAAAAAAAGTCAGCAAAAAAAATATTTTCATGATCTCTGAAGAGGTAACTCATCAAAGTAGAGCCCTTTGGCCGAACATTTTGTCCGTTTGGCTCTATTTCTAACCGTTTAGGCGCTGGAGGGTCATTTTTAACGAAAATAAGGGCCCATTTACGATCGTCCGGGGTGTCTTAAATGAAATTGAATTTCCAGCAGAAATTCATTAATTTTTGGAGTTAAATGGGACCCCCCATTTACGGTGGTTCTTAGCTTAAATAATATTTTAGTTCCCGCCATGACAGAATCGATTGTCACTTGTCGTCGGCGCCATCTTTGTTTAGTCTCGTCTTGGCCTCTGATTGGCTGTTGCGAAACGTCGTGCCCGAAATCCGAATTTTATTTAAGCTAAGGACTAGCTTAAATGAAATGAAGACCATCACGACGGTCTTCATTTCATTTAAGCGTGAGCCGTATTTCGACATGAAATGAATTTCATTTCAGGGGCTGGCATCGTAGATACTCCCATAAGCCACAACGCGTTGGTCAATTTAATTTAAGATTCCGCGAACGATCGTAAATGGGCCCTTAGCTAAAAATTGCTGTAGTTAACAATTAGTTGTATAAGAAGGCCTGAAAACCGCAAAAGAGGAAGGAAACTCCCACACCCCACCCCAAAACCGTCGACGGTATTGAGGCGTGTGAGGACCAAGTTATGTCCCTCACGCACTGCTTCGAGGTGCTAGTGGAAATAATTTTTCTGACAGACATTGAGTACAACGAGGACGTGTGCCTCTCATGGAAGCTGCTTGCTGAGGTTGTCATGGGCTGCCATGAACCTGTGCCTATGGTGCAGGATAAGAAGAAGGTGAAGAAAGGACTTGGAATGGGAAGGGGTGGGTCGTCGTTCCTAATAGCGCAGAAGATTCTGCTAGGGAGGCAATGAAAGAAACATCTTGGTGTAATGGATTGTCTCTATTCACGTTCCAGGTTGTCATGGGCTGCCATGAACCTGTGCCTCTTGTGCACGATAAGGAGAACGTGTTGATGTGGATTGCACATTTTTTATTATTACTCTATCATTTTCGTGTCATTAACTGTTGGTTGGCATTGTACCATTTCTGAAATGTCACTGTACAATGTGTAGTGTACTTCTGCCCCTGTTTTAAAACTGCATCCATGAAATTAGCAATTAAAGCACGTTACTGTCTTCCCACGCGGACTCCTTTTTCCGCTGTACCAGATCCCCGCTGCATCCGCTGCAGGCAGCCTGAACGACACATGCAGATCGCAGAAACATAACACACAGATTCTAATTTCTGATAAAATATTTATTGATTTCATTTCATTATATTTACATACATCAAATAATAATTCAGCCCCTTACTCATCAACTCCAAAACCTGTGACTAGACATTTACGAGCAATCCTACTTCTCTTGCGTAGAGGTGTACAAGGAAGCTCCCTGCCAGCAATATCCTCGGTATTACCTTTTCGCTTCTTTATTCCCAGTTGTCCATGGATATGCTTGTTCATATTATGCATGAAGCGTAACTTGTCAGGATTCTTACTCCCTCCACAGGCAGCCCTCTGCTGACTAAAATACTGCTCAAGGTTTGTCTTCGCAGTAAACTCGAGCCATTATAAATTTTGTACCTACTTCAGGTGACAAGAGGAAATCCAGGGCTCCTTTAAACCCCCTGACAGTCATTTCAATTCCTCTCAAGGTATGTGGACTGAGGAGCATGGCAGCTTTCTCTTGTGGTGTGTACCCTGAGAGAGCGGCCACTTCTTCTTTCCATTCTCTTAAGTACGTAAGGTAATCCTCCAGTTTCTGAAAACGCTCATCTTCCATAGATTTGTTAGGGGCTAAATTATTATTCAATTCCCGCCGATGCTGATCCGAATGCGCACCATGAAGGCAGTCAAAAAATTCATTGGTTTTACTTTAAAAGAGGTGTCTCTTTGGTATTTGGCCATTACAATTCATCTAATGCATTGGCCACACTTTGACTTAAAACTCTAAAAGCTAATTTAGTTTGACAAGAAAATCTGTTCAAATACACACACACTGCAGTAAGTTTATGAAGTTTCTTCACAGTTTGTGTTGATTTCAACTTGAACAGATCCACAATTGTTGACCATAAAATAAAGTCTTCATTTGGAGATGGCTGCAACTCGTATCAGACGGATGAAGATTACTGTAGTGGAGATGATGAAGCAATTGCGGCCTGTCCTTCTAGTCGCTTCGATCACACTTACTCCAAGCCAACTGAATATTATCAGGTATGTTCCTATAGTTTTGTTCCTGTTCACCAAGTTTATGCTTTGCCAAATTTAATATGCCCGACATATTTTCAATTCTTTTTAAGTGTACGCAGAGCGGGACCAAAATAACAAGAGGGAGTCAAACTTATACCACCATTCATAAAGTACCCATACGGGATTCTGTGGTTGGAGGAAGGATTTGGAGCTATGCTAGCACTTTACCTAATTACTTCGAACTATCCTTCCCATCCGAGGTCAGTAAGCTTGGTCACATTTTAACAGAAACAACTGTTGTATTTTTTTTTATCTTATTATTTCACCTTTTCTGTACAGCTTTCACAGGTTGGATCTTTGGAGCGCATTCCTACATCAACAACGCCATGTGTGCCAACCCAGAGTCTGGATGACACTGCATTTTCTGTACCCTGCCAGGTAGTTAAAATGAACAATGACCAAAAAGTTGCAATCAAAGTAAGCAGTCACATTAAGATTTTATTTGGCTAATGTAATTCTTTTCTTCCAGCGTGCAGAGATGTCAGTCTTGGCATCAAAACTGGCAGTACTGCTACCTTAATTGTGGTCTGCTGACTATTCAGCAGGAGGCAATTTGATAATTATGAAGCAGTCAGCTCATCCCTTTATGTCTACTCAACGTACCATCATTTTGACTTCTGAATCTTCATATCAGCTCTACATCCATGGCCATGAGTTGCTCCAGACCATGGGGTATTTCTTCAGAAGTTAACCCCTGTCGACCTACCAGTCATGCCTCAGACTGTTGTCTTTGACAACCTCCTGAAGACAGTGAGTGCCTTTGCGTCTCGTTGAGGTTTGCACTGGTGTTCCCAAACTCAAGTATAGAAGTCTGTGGGGAAAAATTGATGGATGCGCCAGAGACACAAACCCGTGTCAAGAAATTAGGTATCAGGAGACATGCCGCGCCAACAATTTGTTATGGAGCTGCGATTTCATCGCAGAACGTAGTGTTTACACTAACGAACTAGCAGAAGCAGACGGCTTCTGCTCCGCGCCTTCCCCTGCCGCCAGGAACGACCTGGCGAGCGCCGCCTCGAGAGAGTGCTGCCACTAGCGGCCAGCAGGCGAGACTCCCCCCCCCTCCCCCCCTCTGCCGTGCGGCGGGAGACTCGAGTGCTACGGCTGCGCGCCGAGCCGGCGCGCGGCGGGCCCGAGCTTCAGTTCTTACCTACCCGTGCCAGCGAGTGGAGGCGCGTGTACGTGAAATTGCCTATCTTTCAGGGGCGCGAACGCGTAGTACTACTTTGAAAAAACAAAATAAAATTGGCGTACTTTTGTTTCTTTAAAATAATACTACGCGTTTGCGCCCCTGAAAGATAGGCAATTTCACGTCCGTACCGCCCTGGCACCCAAAATACCGCCCTGACGGGCCTCCCGTACCGCCCTCTGGCGGCTGGATGTTGGCAACGCTGCCGAGCCGGCGCCGTCCACGGCGTCACTCCACCTCGTGAACCAGACGAAGCCAGAGGCGTCTTTTCGTTTGCTACCCGGGTCGTTTTCGTTAGCGCTAGCGTCGGGGTTGTGACGTCATGCGCTAGCGCGGTAGCGGCCGCTAGCTCCTAACTCGCTACCACACTCAGGAGGTGGTTAGCAGCTAGCGGTAGGGCAAAACTGGCGCGGAACTGTGGAGAAACAAGGTGGAGGCTTGGAGGTGTTTGGGAGCATCGTAAATTTTTATAATATCTTTTTTGACAAAATGGAGTTTCAATTCAACCTGGGTCAGCATAGTTTACTTAGGACGCTTAACGGAGAACTGGTACATGGGGTAAACAACACTTTTGCTGTGTTTGATTCAGCTGGTAAGTAAATGTTGGGTTATACGTCCCATACACCTGTTCTTTGTTTCGTTAGTTTGGCTCGCTCTTTGAAATTTCGCTCAAATTTTTCAATCATTATTTTCAGCAAATAAAATTATCTACAGGCCAGCGGAAGAAATGGCCCTGGCCGTCACCCTGCTGTCGACCAAGACTATGATATCCAAGGTACCGCTGCCTCTGGCCTCCACCAGCTCCAGCTCTCATTCATCCTCAAAACAAAAATCAGAAGACCACTCATCGTATTCTTATTCAACTTCCTCGCCTAGCAGCAGCTCTTCTCCAATGTCTGCATTCCCTCTCCCTCTATCCAGTTCTGAGATATGGAAGAAAAACTCTGGTAAGCAAACCCCGCAAGACCTTAGTGCAAGATCGGACCTCCTCGACCTTGTCAGAATCCACTACGAAAACATCACAGACAAGAGTACATGCAAAAAAAGTGTGTTTAAGAAAATTGCTTTGTCTATGCAGAACAAGGGCTACTCTTTTGGGAATAGAGACGCAGCCCTTGTCTGCCAAGGCAAGTGGAAGAACATGGAGTCGAAAGTGACAACTTTTCTCGCCAATGGTGGGCCAAATAACACAGGCAATGGGGCACTAAGGAAACCAGACTACTTTGATGAGGTGTTCGACATTATAAAGAATTCTGCTAAGGCAAAACCTAAAAACTTGCAAGACTCCATGTGCTTGCAAGTGCCAGAGTGAAGCAGAGGGAATGACACACCAAATGAGATTGCGTCGCCCCCGAACACGGTGTAGAGAGATACGGTGGGGACACTGGGGTACCTGGGGAGGTCCC